TCTTGTTTATTTTTTAAATAAAACAACATATGATTTGTATTTTTTCTTATTTGTCAAAGTGTGATAGAATCTGTTTCAATTTCTGTTCTGATAAATAATTTTTTTTGCTGTGCATCTCAATTAAACAAATAATTGAAAACACTAACTATATCAATGTAAGTATTCGATCTAGAGATTTTTCTTGTATCAATAGAACTTTGTTTAGGGATCCAAGATTTTATCAAACTATGATTCGTCCAACAAGACATTCAAGTCACCATCATGGCAAACGATTTACCTATAAACCTCGACACCGATATTCATATCCATTAGGGTTTTATCCAGATATCACTGTGAATCCTCTTCGACGACATAAAAAGAGTATGTTAATAAGAGAAACAAAGTAGAATGAAACGAAAATTGTTGTTTTTTTTTCAAACTGTAGCTCGTACACAACGTTTGACGAATTCAAATTTTCAAGATGATATGTTGAAGTTACATAATAATTATCGTGCACGTCATTGTGCACCACCACTTGTTATAAGTCAACGGTTAAATCAAATAGCTCAATCATATGCTGAACACTTAGCAGCAACGTCAACGTTCGAACATAGTGGAAATCAACTTGAAAATGAACCCTTAGGAGAAAATCTATATATGCAGTGGATAACTTTTGGTCGAGCGCCAGGTTCTGCAAGAGAAGCAGTAAAAGGTTGGTATGATGAAATATCAATGCATAATTTTCAACGTCCAAAATTTTCACCAAAAACGGGTCATTTTACACAATTAGTATGGAAATCATCGAAAAAATTGGGTGTTGGAATAGCTTACTCACCTGATCGCCGTGGAGTTTATGTTGTAGCAAATTATTATCCAGCTGGAAATATTATGGGTTCAGGATCGTTTGAAAAAAATGTTTTACCACCAAATTGCTAAGTCAATTCATTTTTATTTTTTCAAAATAAGAAATATGTGCTTAGAGAAAACGAAATTTAAAAATATATGTTCGTAAACTGTATGAAGTGTTAACACAAATACGTTGAAATTTATTCAAGGAGTCAATAAATAAAAATACGATGTTTTTCAATAATAGAAGTGAAATATTGAAAGCAATATAGATGATAATAATAAATCGAAGATAACATCACACTAAATAGTTGAAGCAATGAATTGAAGATTTAGATGACAAATATATGTCGAAATGTACGTTTTTCTTTTCTTTCGGCAATGTGATAGCACAATTCTTGTGTAACTAACATGTGAAAGCCAATGTGGTTGTTGTTGCTAATAACAAGGAGATTATTTATTCCATCAATTCTCAGACACTTTTCTTCACCATCCGTTTACTCAATTCTCCAGAAATGCAATAAGAAAATGGTTCGAATATTAGAATGAGACATTATTAAAATGCCATCTATGATCGTATATCAATGCTTGTCAGTTACAGTAATCCAAGCTATGACTTCAATACTTCAATATTGCTTTTAAAATGTACAGCACAAAATGAATCCAACGAGATTAGTAGTTGTCTTCTAAAAGACTGCTCTAATATTCGGCTTATATGATTAAGCTTTTGTGAGGAGAATGCTGATATAGTGAATAGAAAAACTCGAACAACACACCGAGTATTATGGTGAGTTTATGTTTGATTCATCAAATGTTTTTAGAGGATGTTCAAGTTGAACAAGTTGTACATATAAAACGAATTTCTTGTAGCATCTACATAGAATTCGATTTGCTATTCAAAATATTTATCACTATGGAAGTAAAAGAGGGACTTAAACTTCGTTTCGAATATATAGAAGCATCTGCTAAAAGATATTTATTCATATATGTTTATTTAACCCTTTTTTTTAAACGTTAAAATGATGTGATCAGATAGTGGTGGTAATGGTAAAAACTCTCTCTTTTTAGGAACTTTCTATCAAAGACTAGAATTATCGAAACTAGATGTTTTGATTTCACAACCTTCAAATAGATGTTATACGATGGAAAATATTATTAGTATTCTCTTATGCTGGAAAAAAATTTTTTTTTACAGAAAGTTTTTTCAATGCTACTGGAACGCAGTGCCATATTATTGCTTCTTGTCTTTTCTTTCTTGATATTGCTGTAGATATTCTTTGTGTTTACTTCTTTGATTCTTGTTGATTTGTCAATTACGTAACTATAATAATATATGATGTACTCACTAACGAAGTAGATGCCCTTTGTATTTTCTACTAGACATAAGATTTGTCGTCATTTTCATAATAAACATGTGTTATTTTGCATGGATATCTCTCATAAATATCGTTTAGTAACAAATCTTTTTTTAATCAGGTCAATATCAAATTCAAAATGAAACAAAGATCAAACTGTTGATTAGATTTCTCTTATAAACTCCAAGATATATTTATCGCATTAGTATCATGTCTTAAAATTAATAAAAGATATTTTATTTGCTATTTGATTCAAAAGCTCAATACTGTGTAGTTTCATCTCTTGTTGTTATCTAAAAGTATTTAGAAATTTTCATTTAAGTTTAGATTTATTCACATAAATATATTCATCAAAAATGCCTGAAATCATGAAACATGAATAAGTGAACGTATTTTTTAGCAATCCATCAATATCAAATATCTGTCAATATCAGCGTTCGTGTTGAACATATTCTAGATAAATCTAAAGAGTTATGGGATTCATATTTGAAAGCATGATTATTTTCAGTGTAAATTTTCTTTTCCATTAAAGATTTATGCATGACCTTGATAATCATCATTTGGATTTACTCAAAGTAATCATTAAAGGAACTGAATATTGAAATGCAACATCGTTATTTATGATTCGAGTTGTTAGTTATGTTAAAATTATAATTGTTAAATTCATTAACATTCGAAATTGTCATTAAAAAAAATTAAATTTCCATGAATAATATAATGGACTCACCTTTCATTTTTTTTTCTTTGAATGTTGTAGCTTTAGAAAGTTGTATGTTTTCATTGAATTTATGTAAATGTGATTTATACTTTTTTGAAATAAAAAATGTAAAAGAAGAAATAAATTCTCTTTTAGTGAATCTATAGTTTGATTTAAAATATATAATTATTTAAGATTCTTATTTTCTTATTCATCTGCCATATTTGGTAAAAACAATTTCGATAGCTCATGAAGATTAGTTAATTTCATATACAAAAACGTCTACGTCATGTAATATTTTCTAAAAATTATCATATGAAAATTGAATGATTCAAGCTACAATATCGTACGTATAACTATTAAAGAAGAAATCATTTCTTTAGCATTAAAATTACTATTGATTATTTTAAAAATGGTTTATAGGCTACATCATCATCAGTTCTTCATTTCATGGATGAAATAGATTTATCAATATCATTGAAAACTAAAGTTAATAAAGCTTCTTATTTTAGAGGAATTGTCATTTTGATTAAGTTAACAAGGATGATACTGAACTTTCCTTGTTTTTTTAAAACTAATGATTAGAATAATCTCATCTATGTAATGAATTTGAATAAAATTGAAATATATTGTCAAAATATTTCGTTTTTGTAACAATTCAGTACAGGCACAATAATATTGCATCGTTAACAATAATATATCTCGTTTTATCAATAAATAAACAAATCATTTCAAACTGTTTTATAGATACATGCTTACTCAACAGCATGGATCCGTATATTAGTATCGTTGAATTAATATGAAATTCGTATTTTAGCATATCGAATGTTAAAGCAAAACTAATCGAAAATATACTCATAATGTAACTACATTATTTTGAAAGTATCTTTTTTAGTAATCAAACTAATCGGAGAGGTTCTATGATGACAACTGCATTAATGATAAGTCAAGTATTCATATTCCTATTTAGAAAATTCTATTCAACAAATAACATAATTAATACACAGCATTTTCAAAATAGTTTACTTTGATTTTACGATGATCATTTGTCTAATCTTTTGTACGTAAACATACAAAACCAATATTTAATCTATTCAAACGAATACTTTCACATATAGAAAACAGTTTTTTTCTGTTTCTATTGAAATCAAAACAGATAATTATACGTTTGTTCGAATTAAATTTCGATTTACATACTCTAGTATCGAATGAACAGTTGATCCTATTGAAACAAACTAATTGATTATTGACATACTTAACTACTCAAAGTATTAACATCGTTGGTATTATTTTCTGCATTTTAATATCATCGAGGTACATTACATTGAGCCATATAAGTAATGCAAGCAGCATCTATGTCATATGAATTTGAGTATATAGATTCAACAAAAATAGTTAAATATTGATGTAAGTGAAAATTAGAAGAAGAATTAACTTATAATTGATATCTTCGTTGTTTTTTTTTTCGTGAAGAAATTGATTATAAAACTATTAAATAGAGACAATAGAATCTTTTTGTTTTGACTTTTCTTCATATCTACAACAAAATCCTATCAAAACAAAATATTATTCGATTTTAAACTTAATTTTCACCAAATAAATATATATGTTTTCAATTTTTGAGTTAGATTGTTTAATTAATAAAAGACCATCTTCATTTAATAAATTCATTCTTTCATTAATCTTAATTTCTTGTCTAAAATAAAATAATCAAATATTTATTTTTTATTGATGTTGACAATGGTGAGCGACAACTTTGTTGATATTCATTTGTTCGTGAAAAAAAAAATAATCACTAGATATACCAAATAATGCTGAACAAAAAGCAATCCATAAATAGTATTGATGAAAAAAATGATAGATTAAATAAAATCTGGTATGAGCAGCTCTTTATGTAGGTTGAGATCATGCTTGGATATGTTTAACAACAAAAACTCGAACTGTTTCATCAAAATCTCTAAAATTAACAAGAATAAATTCTAATATTGTTTTTGTTTTTTTGAAGTATTGTTACTTACGAAATTACCCAAGTGACTTTTTCAAATAAATGTTTTGTACTGTGTTTGTAAATCAATAATACAAAAAGTAATTTGTCTTAAATCATTTAAACGTTTATCCTATTAAATATTAAAATAATTTCTACTTGAAAGCCACAAAATTCTTGTCGAATATCAAAATCATCTGAATCTGAACGTACTTGTATAGTAATAATTCTACTCTTGATATGTATAAAAAAATAAATATACAACGAAAAAAAAGTTGAGTAACATAGCTAAGTATAAAGCTCTCATCTGAAAGTTCAAAATGAGAGAGACAAGCTTTTGAATCCCACTTAGATAAAATCCAGTTAGCGTTTCTGCTATCGAATTCAAGTTGTGCAATGTGCAATAGTGGTGAAGATCGGAAAAAACCTGCAACTTGCGTAAAAAAACAGGCGAATGTTTATGTTTATAGAAATGGCACCTCTGAAAGAAAAAAATTCCATCTGCTTTACTGAAAAAAGAACATTTAATGAGTTGGCAGAAATATTTTAGAAAGAAAAAAAGATGTTTCATTATGAACTTCTTCACTTTTGAAAATGTTTGACAGATATATAATTTTAATTGCTGAAGGCGAAGAAGAATTTCGGTAAACTCTAAAACTCAAGATTTCCTCAAAAAAATGTTTTTTAACTGTTTATCTGTTTGAGATAATGTTATTATTATCTATTGAAGATGGCGAAAAATATTAGCATTTGTACAAAAAATGTATATACACAACTCAAATCTATCAATATGATGAGGTGAGAAAAGTGTTTCAGGCTACCCTAGCCTACTATGTTTATTGAAAATTGTAATAATACGTTATCTGTCAGAAGAAAATAAACATAAAATATTGATTGAAAATTTTTACAATAACTAGAGGATTGTAAGTCTTTATTTGTGTTGATGCTAGTCTACTTAGGTCTTGTAGTTTGGCCACCTATGGTACAAAGAACAAATTATAGATGCGTCATATATTTTCTTCTAAGAGAATTACGTCTAATTTATTTATTTAAAAAACGAAAGGACATTGGATATACTCGGATCAAGTTAAAAATCTTACCAGCAAAAAAAATATGAACTGTTGATGATGTGCACGAACTTAGATATTCGAATTGTAAGGTATTCACGATTGTTGTTGCAAAGAGCTTGTCGAGTTACATAAAAGAAAGTATATGTTTTACATATAGGACAAGAAATTTAATGAGATTCAGAATATCTGCGATCATTTCTCGCGATATTTAAGACTAATGACATTATGGATTTTTCTCTTGAAATGTTTTACTTCTATATTTGAAACATACTTTTTTCTCGTGTGACTTCTTTACGTAGTCTATTCAACCATGACAAAAAGAAAAGAACAATCTTGCTCAAATTTTGAAATATCGAAACATTGCAACCAGACGGAAAACTTTAAATTCCAGTATATCAGTTCGTGCAGTCCATCAGCTACTTATATCTTAAATTTCTTAGTTTTCAGGTGAAATCTTTAATTTGACGGGAATATATTCAATGTTCTTGAGTTACAATATATACCCTTCTATTTTTAGACAAATTTATTGTATATAACATCGTTATTATTCATCATTTGCCTATTATTGGGCTATTTTACAGTCATTCAAGGATTATTATCGATGTAGTATGACTAGTCATGTTTATGCTACGACATATACTGTCTAATAAGCTCGGTTTTTTTTTCTGCTTAAAAAGAAATAAGCAGATAAAATCAATTTACATAGCTAACTCAAGCATATCTGTAGATGAATCAAATGGACATAAAAATTCGAAAACATATATTCTATAAAATTCATTTGAATTCAAAGCTTTCTAAATTGTCATTTTTCTTAAAATTTCAAATAACTACTTTAAACAAAAGAAAATAAGTTTTTCCTGTATGAAGATATAATTATCACACTAATTTTTTTATTTTGTCATTATTCATATATTCATGTTGTTTTTTTTTCAATGCTTATATTGTATCTCAATGTCACTACTCAAACCACTCACATGTGGCGTTATATAAACAACGCGAAAGCCGCAAACCTACGTAAATATCTATTAACATACAGGTGTACTATTTTGGTGGATTGTTTTTATTGTACATCTAAATTAAACCTTGGTTGAAAACAACATATACTATATCAATGTAAGGATTCGATTTCAAGTTTTTTCTTCTATCAATATAACTTTATTTAGGGATCCAAGATTTTATCAATATATGCTACATCCATCACGATATTCAGGTCATCATCATGATAGACGAATGCTTTCTAAGCCTCGACATCGATATCAATATCCACCAACATATCCTGTAGATATGTCTATGAAGAGACCTCATCATGGACAGAGACGTCGTATGTTAATAAAAACATGAAAATAATAACAAATATTGTTCTATTTTTAAAGATAGAAGTCATCGTCATCGTCATCAACATGGTTCATCAAATTCAAA